TCTTTTCTTTAGTTTGAACATTCCCAAATGAAATGTTTGAGTTGATAACAAGTATAACACTCCCTAGTGAATTTGTCAAATCCTTGTCTACTGTATCCTCAACCTCTTCCTCTGTTTTGTTCCCTGTCCTCTATTTTATTCCCTGTCCCCGTTCTGCAAATTTATCTGCATGAGCAATCTGTAAGGCTTGCTCTTCTTCAACATGAGAAGTCATGTGTAGTTCATGTATGAGCAAGGTACTTTGCAATTTATCAATGATTAAAGTGTTTGTATCCTTAGACCTCAATTGAGCACACAACATAATCAAACTTGGGAGACATAGATCTTAGAATTTTCTCAACTACTGCAACATCTCCTTTGTTTTCACTATTAGCCTTCAATTTGTTGGCCATGGTAAGTTTTCGAGAAAAATGATTCTCCCTCCTTCATGTAGAGAATTTTAAACTCTTTTTTTAGAGCTTGCAACCGTGGGGGCTTGACTCATGAAATGTCTTAATACTTCTATTTTCATGAATCTTATGTATTCTTTGTTGTATCTTTGTTAAGAATGGTCTCTGAGACTCAACGATTTAACGCTTGAAATAGGTAGTTTTTTGCCTTCAAATCTTTTAATTTTATATCATCAACATGCTTCCTCTATGCGTTAATAAGAATTGTTCCGTCTGCTGATTTAAGAATGTCATTTTCCACCAAACTCTAATACTCCTTTGAACGCAAGAAAGTCTTTATAAATATCACCTAATAATCATAATACTCGTCAAAATAGTAGACTTCACAAATGAACTTTTCAATACCATGTCACACTCACATAGAGTTCTAATTACATAATATACGTAAAAGATAACAATATGAAAAATAAAAATTTAATATAAAAAAACAAACCTATATATATATATATATATATATATATATATATATATATATATATATATATATATATATATAGCATTAAATAAGAAATTGAAAAATAAAACAGTCCACATTTATGCTTCATTATTTTCTAATAAACTTATTTGAAAACATAACTACTCCTACTAATATGCACCATACCGCCAATTAACATAATATAAAAATAAATTATAAATTTAATATTTGTTTAAATACATCATTAATTATATATTCAAATTCAAAGTGTGGCCAACGTGGATTCAACCCTCTGACAATAAATAATATAGATAAGTTATTTGGATTGAATTGAAAAATAAATTATAATACTATTTTTTTTCATATGACAAATTAGTTATTATATTTTTTCAAATATTAAATGGCTTGTTAAACTAGTATATTATTAATTGAATTAGTAGATAACCAGTTCTACAATAGTTTTTCACATTGAATAATCAAATAGTAATTATTTTTTTCGTATTCTTCTTTGTGAATCATTCTCCCTTAAGATAATTATATCATAATTTCCGAGTTTACAAATTCAACACTCCTACGGTATAAATACTGTATAAGCGTCGACTTTTCAATAGATTACCTTTTGTTTTTATCTTTAATTTTGCTTATAATTTAATCACAAGAGATGAATTATTTGTTAGAATTATTAAATGATAGTCTTTTAACTTATTGATAAATCAAAGCTTTTATTATACATTATTAAGATATCTCTTAATAACTTATTCATCAACGTTATTTTTTATTAAAAAAAACTTGATTGGTTATATTTAGCAAAATTTTCTTTATAAACAAAACTTAAATTCATAAATTGAATATAATATCTTTCACACTAATTACTTATCTGTATAAATTAATTTTAATCAATAAAATATATATTATTTTCTAATAGATAAACAAGTTATTAATTATAAATAGATAATTTATCTGTTTCAGAAGGAAGATAAACAATAGATAAAAGATAAAATATGTTTTTGGGTTTCAATAATCTAATATCCTTTAAATTTATTTTTTAGTTATTTTAATTATTATATTCCTGTAATTTTGAAATGAACAATTTTTATCTTCTAATATTTTTTTATCTAAACCATTTTTTATTTGAAAGATTAGAAGTAACGTATTTTAAAATTAAGAAAAATGGAAAATTATTTTGAAAAGAGATTGAAATTAAATTTGGAAATTTTAGAGGAATAAAAATATTTTAAATACAATCCCTTATTTTTTGGAATTTATTTTTCGAAACTCTTTTGTTGTTTGGTCAAAGAAAATTATGTGAAGAAAAATAAGATAGAAAAGATATAGGAGCTTGGTCCAATAGAGTGGTTAAAGAATGGGTCGGTGAGGGCGCGTGGAGAACTCGCGTGTACTCAATCCAATCCCTTAATATTATAATATATAAACCCAACCAACCTCACTTTTTGGTTGGTCAAACAAAGCGCACGCGCACCCATCATCCCCGTTTCAATTACTCTCTATTTCTTCAACACACCCTTCGTTTCTCGTTCACAATCTTCTTATTATTTTTCGTTTCACAATCCTTCACCAACTCACATGGCGGCCCTGGCTGGATCTTCCGCCGCCGCCACTGCCACCACCACTACCACCTCCGTCCGATTCCGGCGCTCCCTCTGCCCACCGCCCTCCCAAGTCCACTTCCGCCGCGCGCGCTTTTCCGTCAACGCCGCCTGCCCCTTTTTCTCCGACAACAACAATTCTCTTCCCAAAAACGTCGTCGCTCCCACGCCCTCGCCTCTCGAGGTTCTCAAAACTTCCGCTGCTGAGAGTAAGTTCTCGTCGATCGTTCCTCGTTCACAAATTTTTTATCGATTTTTTTTTTTTATAATTATTATATGGCATGGGGATGAAGTTGTTTATTTTGTTGTATTGTTATGTTTGTTTTAGGATATACGAAGGATAAGAATAGCATTGTTTGCATAGGGCTTAATATCCACACTGCTCCTGTTGAGATGCGTGAGAAGCTTGCGATCCCAGAGGAGCAATGGCCCCAGGTTATTCAGGACCTTTGCGCCTTGAACCACATAGAAGAAGCTGCTGTTCTTAGCACGTGCAATCGCATGGAGATCTATGTTGTGGCTCTCTCCCACCACCGTGGTGTTAAGGAAGTTACTGATTGGATGTCTAAGGTATATTTTATTATTTACTCATAAAAGTATGAATGTTCTGTTGGGTAAATCACCTTTTTGGTCCTTCAAAGTGATAAGCGTGTTGCATGGATCTGAAACTAAGAAAATTCTAAATAAAACCTTGAAAATACTGGTGGTTCCCATAAGTTCATAAGCTTAGTAACTTACCATTTGCTTTCGGAACATATGTTAACATGATTGCTTGAGTCATACTTTTCATGTAATGACGGGTTTAATGTGATTCATGGATTGTGATACTGGAAAATTTTATTAATATTCTTAGTTTCAGGACTATGGTTAGGGATGAAATAGGTTATTTACTCTTGTTCTGGTCTTGGTTTTGTTTTGAAAGGATTTTCATGGTTGTGTTTTTGTTTAGGTAAGTGGGATTTCAATACGAGATCTTCGTGAGCACCAAGTGTTGCTGTATAATGCGGATGCCACACAGCATCTCTTTGAAGTGGCAGCGGGGCTTGACTCGCTTGTTCTTGGGGAAGGTCAAATTCTTGCTCAGGTGAAGCAGGTTGTAAAAGCTGGACAGGGAGTGCCTGGTTTTGATAGGAAGATCAGTGGTTTGTTCAAGCACGCGATCTCTGTGGGGAAGCGGGTTAGAACTGAGACAAACATTTCATCTGGATCTGTTTCTGTCAGCTCGGCTGCTGCGGAGCTTGCGCTGATGAAGCTTCCAGAATCTTCCTTTGCTGATGCTGGAGTGTTGGTAGTTGGGTCAGGGAAGATGGGGAAGCTTGTGATTAAGCATTTGGCTGCCAAAGGGTGCAGAAGGATGATTGTTGTTAATAGGAGTGAAGAAAAAGTTCACGCCATTCAACGAGAGTTGAAGGATGTTGAGATAGTGTTTAGACCGATTTCAGAAATGCTGGCATGTGCTGCTGAATCTGATGTGATCTTCACCAGCACGGCATCTGAAACGCCTTTGTTCTCTATAGAGAATGTGCAGAAGCTTCCTCTGACTAGTCATGGGAGAAGACGGCTGTTTGTTGATATATGTATTCCTAGGAATGTGGAACCAGGTGTCTCGGATCTGGAGAATGCACTTGTGTACAATGTGGATGATCTGAAGGAGGTTGTTGCAGCCAACAAGGAGGACAGGCTTCAGAAAGCTGCTGAGGCGCGGGAAATTATCATAGAGGAGTGGAATAAATTTGAAGCATGGAAAGACTCTCTGGAAACTACTCCTACCATTAAGAAGTTCAGAGCATACGTTGAGAGGATAAGAGCCTCTGAGATGGAGAAATGTTTGACAAAGATGGGTAATGATGTCTCAAAGGAACACAAAGATGCAATTTACGCCCTCAGTATGAGTATTGTGAATAAGATACTTCACGGTCCGATGCAGCACCTGAGGTGTGATAAAAGCAATGATATTAGTGAAGTGCTTGAGAATATGCGTGCCCTTAACAGAATGTATGATCTTGAGACAGAAATATCATTGATGGAAGAAAAGATCAGAGTCAAGATGGAACGGGCTAAGAAGTAGACTCCTCTTCAAATTGGTTTAGTTATTTGATTCATTTGTGGACTGCAACCCTCACCATTTTGTACACTACAATAGTAAACTGAGGCCCTTTGGAGGCTAATTCTTTCAATTATTTTTAACATTATACGGAAGTAATTAGACATTGATGCTCAACTGTGTTATGTATTTCTCAACGAGCTTGATATAGAGACTGTTGTAAATTCATGATCCTCATGACAACAGATGATTCTTGTATTTTTAATAACATCAATGTTAGGCGGAGCATAAACATGAATCTTAGATGTTATATGCAAATGTCTTTATATTTATTTTTGGTTTTGATCTCTTATTCTGTTTATCTTCTAGTCATGATTTTCCTTATAAATTTGGATGGTAAGACAATAAGTGACTGCCTGTTGTAGAAGACTTTCATGATAATTGCATCAGTGCCGAGTAATTCTTTAATAATGAATAATCTTGATTCACTCCTTTAGTTCATTCTCTGTAGAATTCATGCTTCGTAGAAGAGGATGAAATATCTCCTCATCTTCATTCTTTAACTGCATAGCCATTCTCTACTTCTCAAGTATCAAATATGCGTAACAGTGTCACTGTGGGTGGATTCCCAATGCACCTAATATAAAACAGTGAAGGGATTTTGCCCTTACATGACTAGCATTTGCCGTCCATGCTTTAAAGACTAATTTTGCATCTGGATTTCAGTTGAAATCTTCCAAATTATGATTTTGCAAACCATAGTAGGAACTTTTCTTACAAAGCACACACATATTCATTCAATTCAATGACAACAAATTTCCTTGTCAATTTTGTCCACGTGATGATTATTTTTTTTTTGGAAACCCCACTTACCACATGAAATTCGGGGTGTTTATTTTTGGACGCAAAGTATGACCTGTACTCCACTGTACATACCAATTGCCTAATGGTCGGCAAAGATCTTAATTTCCTCCTCTTTTATTTCTACAGTGTAACAAAAATGGCAATAACAGATCGTTTTTCGATAAATAAAGTTTTTATGCGCAAATTCCTTTCTTTTGTTTTCATTACATATTTTCCATTCATGTAAAATATCATTCATGCTATTGATCTCAACTATAGGTGAAAATACAGATGATTTTTTTTTAATTTAAATTATAACGAATTATTAATATAATTTATTCATTAAAAAATATTTTAAACCTAATTCGCTAAATAAAAATCTATCTAGTTTATCTACTAACAATTCTTCTATCAAAAGGAACCCCAAAACTCGCATGCCCTGTAAGTGATGGAAGGTAAGCTGTTGTTACTTTGTCCACATCGAGCCAGACACTTTCACTCCAAACGATACCTTGAAATGTTAAAAATACTTATTTAAGTTAATACTTTAACTTTCTTATTTTAACATTTTGGTTTTGTTTCAACATAATAATTCTTTTTATTTTTTGAAACTATTTTTTAATCATTCCCAATAAGTAACAAGAATGGGTAATGTGAAACTACTTATATTAAAAATAAACATTAAAATATTTTTTTTTTACCAATTGATAAATGATAAATGTTGTTTTTAAAAATATATAATACCTTACCAAAATATTTATGTTAGCCCCTGAATATATATAAAATTCTAACAATTGTGTCTTATTTTTAATTTTTGTGAAATTATTTTGTCATTGAAATATATTTTTAGGAACTACTTTGACAATAAATATGAGACTACTTTATCATGAAATTATAATATTAAAAAATTGATGAATGTTAAACTATTTCACTATTACTTAAGATTGATTCTTGGTAGAATTTTTTTTTTTTTCAAACTTTACTTATCACTTGATCGGGTCAAACTTTAGTGGGGAAATGTTAGTTTTAAGAATTAAAGTTTAGATACTTTCAAAAATACAAAAAAGAAAAATGGTTGAATTTAAATTTAAAAATTAAAAATTTTCAACCACTAAAAAACACTTTTGGATTCAACTATTAAGTAATTTTAAATGTTATTTTATAATTAAAAGTAAATATTCATTTTTAATAATATCATATATGTGTAAACATTTAATGTTATTTTTATTATGCAAATTACAAATAAATGTTTAATCTTAATTATGTTAAAAATACCTAAATTTATGCTTGACTTTTTGTAAGACTTTAGTTGACTTTGAGGATGCAAAATAATATTCTCATGTTTCACACTTCACAATGCGCGTATAAAAAGGGTAAATTCACAAGGTGCGTTGACCCCTCAGATAAACACTATAACACAAAATTCAAAGCTTCTAGTAATTTACTTTTCTAAAATGGAATTAATAATATTTTTTATTGAGACTATGATAAAAATATTTAAAATTTTAATTAAAATGAATTAAAAAAAGGTATGATCAATTCACTTTTTCATGAAAAAAAATTACTACACAATTCAATTTACTAAGTACTACTTAGGTGGTGTGGTTAATTAAAACATGTCTTATTTTTTTAGTCTTTTTATTTATTTACTTTTAATTACTAAAAGATAAATTAATTTATTGAAATATTTTTCTAAGAACTTACACAAATCAAATTTTAAAAAATTTAAATAAAAATATCATTAATCAACTGACCACTAACTCAACTAAAATTTGTTTCAACCACAAATTTGATCCCTTTTTAAATCTTTTTATAACGCATGACATAAATAATTGAAAGATAATTTTTTTTATATTATCATCTTATTATTGAAGGTATTTATATTGTAAGATTCACCACTTTTTTTAACATCTATTTTAATATATATATATATATATATATATATATATATATATATATATATATAAAAGTTTGAAAGAGTGATAAGATGGTTTATATTAAAAATTCAGTTCAATCAAACACAAAATTTAAATGTGATTCAATTTTTGTTTTAAAAAAATTGGAATCAAATTAAAATAATATTTTATAATTTGATTTAGACAATTTTCATTTTTGTATTATAAAATTGTTAAATATATTATAATAAAATAATCATTTAATAAAAAAATATTATAAAAACATTATATATAATTAATTATGGAATTCAAAATTTAAATTTTGTTTCAACATAACAATGCATAAGACTAATTAATTATTTATAAAAAATGTCATTTTATATTTTAATTTTAAGAATATATATTATAATTTTAATTTAATTTAATTTTAATTGATTTCTAAAAGATCAAACTAGATTGATTAATTTTTAATTTAAAAATCTTTAAAAAAATTAATTTAATTTTTTATCCATTTTTAAATTTATTTTAAATTGATTCGATTCGGGATACGGAAAAACTTACGAGAGTATCATTTTAAATTTAAATTTATTTTAAATTGAAAAGTAAGATATAAAAATGAAAGCTAAAATTGTTGACTTCTCAACTAACCTTGAAAAAATATGCTTCTGCAGTGCGGAACCAAACACACTAATAATAATATTTTAGTTTTGATCACACGTCTAAAAAATGACACATCATTTTCATGATTTTAACCCATCCACTTCCGTCAACTCCGCGGGCGAAACGGATTAAAAATATTCTATTTTTTTATATTATATTATTAAAATATATAAATATATTATAATATTATAATTTAAATTATAAAAATTAATTAATTAAATTTAAATTATTAATTATAATTAGTTATTTTAATATAAAAATATAATATTTTTAAATTATTTAATAAAATATTAATTAATAAATAAAAATTTAAAATTATTAGTATAATTAAAAATATTTTTTTAAAATATATATATATAAAAAATTATTAACAGACTGAGTCATTAATCCAGTGAGATGGGTTAAAATCTGTGGTTCGACGAGTTAGTTCATCTTAGTGAACAGAAAATGAGATGGGTGAAAATGGAACACACTGGTTCATCCCTATTCACGTCCAAGGTCAAGAGAAGTTGGAGTATTCGAGGAACCATTTTGATGCTGTCCTATGTGCTGAAGTTGATTCTTTCTTCTGCGTGGGTATGCTCAGCTTGTTTCGTGACTTGTAGATTTAAAGAAATTCTTTTTTCGTTTATAAATTCAGTTAATTTAGATCACAAAAGCAATTTAACACAAGACTCACAAAGTACCAAAAACCCTTGAACACCGCTGAAGCCGAATGCATCCAAAAATGTTAACTTCGATTGCTCACATTCTGAACCAGATCATCGCAATCCGTTTTTAGTATCATGCTTTAGTTGATATTGGAGATGGTGGAAAGTCTCACATTACCTGCCTTTGTGATTTTGTATTGTATGGTTTAATATGATATCAGAACCACAATATAATATCTTTTTAATTATTGTTATAGGTCAAAAATTAACCTTTAGTTAAGTTAAAAGTACCTTTAAACCTTAACCGAGATACTATCATAAATTAGTGAGCCGGATACAACACCACCATGATCTTACTTGATTATTGGAAATGCATAAGATTCTTGAAGCAATGAGGGTTAGAAACCTTAAGCATGCTCTCACATGAATCTCTGGCAGGTGCCAACCGAAAGAAACTTGTCCATAATGGTTTCTGCCATGTTCGCATGTCATTTACCAGCAATCGATTATGAATTTATGAGAAGGTAGTGTACAAAATTTAATTGTCTATACCGTCTTACAGCTCTATCTGATGCGGTTGTGAAATTCTTAATATATTTTAAAAGTGCAATACAGCTTCACACCTCTCTGGTTTGTACATGAAAATTCTTACCATCTCTTTTACATTTGATACGGCCAAATCAATGAATAATTGAGCGAATATGTTCCCATGAAAGCATTTGCAAGAAAAAAAAGGATATGCTTGCATAATTTAAAGTATTGGCAAATAACAATAGTATGTGGCATCTTTTTTGAAAGTGTGGAAGAGGTTAATTCATATAAAGGCTTACGGATTTGGTTTGATTCACCATCTTTCATATTAATATCTTCAGCAGATTTTATTGGTAGTCGTGCAACATGAACCATTGTTGCACTCATTGTGTATTAAATTTTCACACACAAGGTAGTTGACCTGACAATATGGAAAAATTTGCAAGATATCAAAATTTTGAACAGAAAATTTACAAACAAAGTCGATAATCTAAATGAAAGGATTTATTTTTTTATCAATAATAATATCAACAATCTGAATGGAAGGATTTAATGTTGGTATTTGACAAGTTAAGGCACTGTGATGAATGGCAGGTACGATCTAATTGCCATTCAGCCTTGAATAATGCTCGAACAATGAGTCTCTTCTTCCAACCCAGATCAGCCCTTGAACATATCAAGCACACACCAAAAATTCTCATATCTTGGTCCCAGAACTTGGCAGCATGCTCCCCAACATACCCGAGGAGGTTTTCAGTTCATTCTATGTACCATTGAATTGGAACAGCTTCTTCACTTTATATAGCCCATCAGTTCTCTTTTAAGCCATCAAGGATCAGTTGTGACAATATATCAACCCATGTGTCAGGAACACCAGGAAGACACCAATGCATGCAATCCTGACCCCATATTGCAACTGCATCCTTCCTTCCTAACCAAATTGCTGGATGAGCATCAGATCTAAACTCACTTAAATGAGTCAAATCAAGCAATTGAATACCCGTGCCTTGTAATGTTTCTTGAATCACAGCATTCAACAGTCTCGCTTCCTTGTTAACTCCGTTGTTCCTGGGTTCAAACCATGAGTCAAGCTGTCCAGTTATTAGTAGATCATTCCTTAGGCCAATGATTGAAAAACACATGGGGGACATGGAACACAGTTAACAGGTCCCTCAGACAATGTGAATCATTTTGTCGTTTACAATTAAAACTTTTATCAAATGCTAGACATAGTTGAATTTTTCTTTTGAGATGTTACACCGTACATGATGAAGAAGATCAGACATGTAATTTCTAAATAGTAGCAATTTATAGCATAACAAATTGGGAGGACCATGAAAGTGATTAGCATCGCAAGGAAGAAGAAAAGAAAAAGACTTTACTTGGAGACAAAATACAGACAAGTTTCAGAAATACACACCTCGTTCTCCTCAAGGGGTCTGTTAAACAAGCAGCTCCCATTTTGATTCCAGTCACCACCATAAAAGTGTCTCGGGGATTGTAATCTCCAGAATTTAAGTGTGTTTCCAGGAAATTCTTTCTGAATGTATGTGATCATGTTAACAAGAACAACTTTAAGTCCATCCAACATCCCAAGAGGTGGAACTATTGGTTGTCCTGCTTGATAGAAGACAAGAGGCTTCTCTTTTGGGAATTTGTCATTATTCCACCTATTAAAAACCAAATAAAGTAGCTATATACATTCAATCACTGGAACAGTTCGTAAAAATACAGAGGGAAGCTACAAATGAGCCCCAACCCAGTTTCATAAAAAATATGTTGCCACACAAGTATTCCTCTTTGAGCACTTTACAATTTTTTAACAATTAATATTATTACTTATTTAATTCAATCATGTTTACTGTCTATATATGCATTGTGAATGAGTTGTTGAGTCATTCAACAACTCTTAAACAAAGTATATAGGTAGTCAAACTCAAAACGTTAATTAAGTGGTAGTACATCATCCAGAAGTTTCAAAATTCAAGAAAACAAAGAAATAATTACCAGTGACCAGTATTAAACACCAGAACGTCATAGAATCCAGCAATTTTAGCCCAGTCATCTGCAGGAACATCAACATCAACTCGATAAAAACCTTCTGATCCATCTTGCATCCCAGCATTCTCTTGTTTTGGCTGCCACCTTTGTTTAATCAGTAATGAGCTCATAAGGTTTCCATTTTGAAATTGACATCAAAGAAAGATAGTAAAAACAGACAATTAATCAGCACTCAGAAAATAGGAAACACTTAACAAGAATTAAGATAGTCAGTGGGTGAAAATTGTAAAATAATGAAAAATTTCCGAGAAATAAGCTGAAAGTTGAAACTGTAGACAGCATAGCTTAACAAGCTAAAAGAAGGAAACAAAGTTGGTTGACTTTGTCGAATGCACATCCTTAATCTCAAAGTTCATATATAGTTCTGTTTTAAGAAACATTTGACTTATTAATCATCATTGCCAAATTAAAACCAGAAAAAAAAAATGATATGGGGAGCAAAGTTTGACCACAAGCAAAGGACAAATGGACTTAATACTTCGAGTCCAATATTAAAGTGGGGAAACTTTATTTTTAGAGTAAATGTTATAGGTATTTTAATTTTTGAGGAGTGGCGGCCGCCCCCTATTGGCCTCGCCCTATTAAAACTAAAATTAAACACACAAGTGATATTGAAACCAAAGCAAAAAGAAGCCATCTAATATTCATAAACATATTTTAACAGCCAAAATAAAGCATACCTATTTTTAAATCCTAGGAAATGTGAAGTGTAAGAACCCTCAGGTATCTTCGTTCAGATTCTTGCATATATTGTAGCATGAATGATTTAGTAATTTAGCAAGATGCACAGAAAAGTGATTTTGTTAATACAACGCAGAAGCTGTAACAGGAATGTTATGCATCTTAACAAATTAGCTATATAAAAATTAATTTTAACTTATAGAGAAGTTTATTTTGTTTTTCCTTCTCCTATAAGTGATTATGGAGAAGTTTATCCTAATAGACCTCAGCTCAATGTTGGAACCAACAAGAATTTCCAGTCACTAAATACATCTCCCAGCCACAGCAACACCAGCCCTGTAGTTTAAAGTTCAAACACTACTATTTCAATTAAAGAGCACGTTTGTTAATTTAAGATCCTTCAAAGCACCACCTATCAACAACACATAACAGTCTCACCCTTTTGTTTAAACTTAGGTACCCAAAACAACCTAGCGTTGGCCGGTTGCATTCAAATATCAATTTCACACCACATTTCAGTACCTCAACCAATCACTAAGAATCTAAGCTAATTCTCTACAGCATATATCCAATAATAAACTTTAAACTTCAGATAAACACCATAGTAGCAACCACCTCTTCATGAGAAATGCACAGACAAACTATCTGGGTAGGAGTTACATACCCCTTCATGTAAAACAAACCAGTACATATCTATTTGCAATAATCTGAACCAAAAAAGAAAAATTGGTTAATGAGAATATTACTGGTATCTGGAGAGCAAAACGGCACGGTGATAAGCAACTGTGACATTGAATTTGGGAAAATAGGCACCCCTCCAAGAACCCTTCTTTTTCCACTTTTTGGCCCCCTCATCGGCGGCCCTGAGAATGCAGAGAAAAGAAGCCAAGAAATTCTCATTGAGAGAATCCCCAACAAACCCAATGTTCCTGTTCCTCATCCTACCCAGAAACCGAAACGGGTCGATCCGATTTAACTGGCAGTTCCGGGGCACCCACTTCCAAGAGTTGATGACGCTCATATTTTGCCTCTCGTTTCGGAGGCAGTTCCAGGCGTTCCGGTGGAAGGGGCATGTTTGATCGTAGAGAGGGGTGCGGTCAGGATCCGAGACCCAGTGGCCGCTGAAAAGATTGCAGTTGGAGATTGCGATTAATCGTGAGGTTGGGGAAGAACAAGAAGAGAAGAATGACTGGAGAGAGAGGAATGAAGAGAAGAAATAGAGGGATGAAAATGTTAGGAAGATGAGCCATGGGAAGAGATATGAAGGGAGCTTCGGAGACATAGCTTGTGTTCAATTCATGCTCCCACTCAGATTGGGCTTCATTCAGCCATCTTCTTCAAATTCTATTTTTTATTTTTTTATTTATTTTATAGCCAGGAACAAATTTTGAAGAATACATACTATTACTTTTGTTCACTGTACTAAATCAAATTGTATTATAATATTTATCAAATTTTCTTTTACAACAACAACAACTTGTATTATATAATATAAATTATGATTCTCACAGATTGATATAGTGATACATCATACAATGCTGTATCATTTATCTTCACTTTCTCATTGTGCCATTTTCCAATTTCCACAATTAGCACTTAACTTAATATGTTGAATAAACACAATAACAATGCCAAATACCATAATAAACTTTTACGGAGACTAAAAATAAAAAGATTTCGATAATTATACAACCCAAACATATAATCAACAACATAAATTTTATTATTTAATTAATATAATGAGACCACATGTTAACTAATCATTTTCGAAACGAAAATGGAGAATACTCAAACACAATTCTAGCAACAAAACAATAAATCAAAACAAAAAGGACGACGAATAAGAAACAAGAAACACATTACTAAACAAACATAACCAAACATGCTAGGGCCAATCAACATGGAACAAGAAACACGTGATTATGAAGAAAAAAAAAATAGAAAATTGAAATATGATGGCGAGGGTTATTCATATCTTTAATTCGCTCTTGGCTTCACAAAGCAAAAGTTACAGTTTCTCATAGAATTTGTTGTTTTGTAGTTATATTTTTGACTTTGTTATTTGATTTCGTTATGTAATTTGTGTTATAGATAATGTTCATGCGTGGAATTATATAATTCATGTTACTACTTTGGTTTCACTTTTGATTTGTTTTTTTCTTTTCTTTTTATTTGCTTACAAATGCTACCTTTTACTTTGTGAAATATTACGAATTTGAAGAAATCAAAGAAATCATGTAAAGAGAGAAAGTAATACTATTTGATATATTACACATCTCATGACAAAAATGCATTAAACGTGCTATTACAGTGGCTAAACGATTGTCAACAGTGTTTCTATGCCTGTATTTGACAGCCCCTCAAGCTGGGAAATATGTGTTTTAAATTGAGTGAGAGGGAGTGGATTGGTCAACCTAATGACTTACATTTAACCCTCATAAAAATTGGAGGGCTTGATCTCTGGGTTATGGTATCAAGTACATGATAAAAGCAGAGAGTTTTACAAACACATATTGGTGTGCGATTGAAATTTTTCATTTCATCCTAGATAATACACAATTTGGTGAAGTAATCAGGGTTTGGTGAAGTAATCAGGGATTTACATGTTTCCTTGATAAAAAAATAAAATCATAACACATAAGAGTTCAACCCAACATATTTGTTCCAAGCTAAAAAAATCTTTTGAATCAATTGCAGTTGTTAGACAGTTTTGTGAATGAATTCAACTTTATTCTTGACACTTAATATAATAAGGATTGACATGATAACTTGTAGCGTCAAGAAAAGGAAAAATTAAGGGAGTCGCTGGTTTTTATTTGGGTGCAGGCATAGGAAGTTCTGTGTGGTTTCTTCAATCATGAGAAAAGAAAAAGTAGGAAAAAAACATCTAAGAAGAAAAAAGAGGGAGGAGAGTGACATTGAAGAGCTCTTCAAATCAAGAACTCTGATACTATGTTATAAATTTGAAGATAAAGAAATGTGAAAATTAAAAAAAAAACTGAAATCTACATGTTTAACAGGATGTCATGCAAAGAGAAGATGTAAAAGAGAAAAAGTAATGCTATTTGGTATATGATATATGTAAATATTACAAGATACATGGAAAAAAAAAAAGATAAAAAAGGAAAAAGAAAAAGAAAACGTTAAGCGTACTTACGACAAAAATACATTAAACACATTATTATAATGATTAAGTGAGGTAGCTAAACCATCGTGGACAATATTTCTATAGTTGAATTTTGACATAATGTATAAAAGTAAATTTCAATATTAAGTTTGTGATCAAAGTATAAAATTTAGGAATTAAAAATTTCCTATATATATAATTATGCACAAATATTAATTTTTTTATGATGTATTAATCATTTAAGTTATGATTTCAAAGTTTTGACACTTTTATAAGGTGTGAGGCATTAGCATCCTGTTAATAAGTATTTATTTTAATCTTAATAAGTTTTGGAACTGTTATTTCAATTTTAAGAATCACTTCTGCATTTTTTTTCCTTTGATTTCAATTTTCTTTTACTTTGGGAAAAAGAATGTTGTATGTAAAAGTATAATTTGCTTATTTCTTAAATTTGCAAATCACAGTTGTTATTAGAGCGTTAAATAATGTCAATTATAAGTTTGAGATATTTAGTTTTTAACGTATGAAAGAGTGTTTTAAGAGATTCTACATAGTTTAAAGTTATAATTGTGGATTTTGAAAAAACAAAATCTAAGAATCAATGTTAGCAAATTCCCATGTCAAAGCTATACATTGTTGAAGGGACATTAAAATCTCTTTATTCATTTGATCACTTTGTGTGATACACATTAATTGATTTAGAACTTTTTGTGTTCACAGGAGAGGTTACTTTTTAGTAAGATATGAAATGAAAACAGTTTCACACGTTCTAGATCGATAAAGCTGAGGTTTCCGTGCAAGATGAGTACCATGTTGATAAGTGCGTGAAAAACAACTTAGAAAGTGTCTTGCAACTTGCTTTCAAATACAAACTCATCAAGATGATGAAAAAAGGTTATTGCATGCTTCCTCTTTCCATGACCATATTATACGCATTCAGAGTTTCCCTCATTTTACCTCTATTTGATATCGGTGTTTAAATTTATATTCCTATTATGAGGCATGGAGCATGCTGGGACAGTGATGTAGACGTAATTCAGATTGATAGGATGTGAAATCTGGTGGATCACCTTCACAAATTATTGATTTTGTTTTAGTTTATAACAATTTTCTCATTACTATGTAAATGAGTAAATCTTTTATGTTAAAAAAATATATAGAAAAGAGAGAAATAGAATGAACAAATTGTGAAGGTAACGCATACAATTTTTCTGACGATGCGAAAGATAGAGAGAAAAAGGTTGCTGGTGAGAAGAGAGTAAAGGAAAATGTTAGCGTAAAACACCACGATACTCCTTCAATCAACAAGATGTGGGTCCCGCACCAAAATTCCAGCTATCCCAGAAGACAAATGTTATCGTCACCACGACAAATACGCACCCAACCTTGTTTCCGGCCACGTGACACAACAAAACAATAAGTAGCATCCAAAACTCTACGCACCCAAGAAAAAAAGTAAAAAATATAAATAAAAAAACCCTCACAAATCCATACTCTAGTTAGTTACTTCTTCTCTCTTTCTCTTTCGCTTTCTCATTTTACCTCTCTGACTAAACAATGGAGAACTATCAATATCCGTCCTACCCTGACTCCGGCGACTCCTCGCCGCGTTCCAGGGAGATCGACTTCGAGAACCCGCCGCCCTGGGACGAGCAGCAGAGTCAGAACTACAAGGCCAAGTTCATGTGCAGCTACGGCGGCAAGATCCAGCCGCGAACCCACGACAACCAGCTCTCCTATGTCGGCGGCGACACCAAGATCCTCGCCGTCGACCGCACCATCAAGTTCGCCTCCTTCCTCTCCAAGCTCGCCGCGCTCTGCGACGCCACGCCGCAGGACCTCACCTTCAAGTACCAACTCCCTGGCGAGGACCTTGACGCCCTAATCTCCGTCACCAACGACGATGACCTCGAACACATGATGCACGAGTACGATCGCCTCTATCGCCCTAACTCCAAACCCGTCAGGATGAGACTCTTCCTCTTCACGCTCTCCTCAAACCCTAATTCCTCTTTCTCCTCCGACCGCGATCGCTTTGTCGACGCTCTTAACTCTGCTCCAATTCCTCCGCAACCCGACCCCATCAAAACCCCTCCAGTTACTCCTTCGAATGTTGATTACCTCTTCGGTCTGGACAAGGCCGTTGCTCCTCCCACTCTCCCCCCTTCCTTCGCCGCAGTTAAGTTTCATGATCCCGCACCAGAGCCTGTCGCGCCGCCGCCGGAGTATCAGTCCCGCGGCGGAATATCCGTTTCTGATCGCGCCGTCGGATCGGATCCGAACGCGATCGAGATTCAGAGACAGTTGCAGCAGGAGATGCAGCGTTTGCAGATGGCTGAGAATGAATACCGGAGGAGGAGTGAGGATGGTTTCGCCGGTGGCTTTACTGCTGCCGGGGGGGATTATTACATGCAGAAGATGCCGGAGAAGGTTCCGCCAACTAATGCACCGCATCCCGCCGGTTACTGGCAGGAGAAACAGTTTTCTGGCGAGGGTTTCCAGACAACGGTCACGACGGCTCCAGGAGGTGGTGATCAGCAGGTCTATGTTATCCCGGCGCCGGGGACGTTCTACCACGCGCCGGTGGTGCGGCCTCCGGCGGCGCAGGGCTACTACGCGGTGCAGAGAATGGGGTCTGAGGGTTACCGTGAGCAGGCGGTGTACGGCGGTATGGCTCCACCTAAGCCTGCGTTTTCATCGGCGGGGCCGGCGCAGCCGGTTAAGCCTTCGGGGTATCCGGAGGGATACGGCGTCGTGAGGCCTCCTGGGGTGCCGGATAATGCGGCGTACGCTCAGGTGGCGTATGATAGTGCGAGCGGGAGGCAGGTTTACTACACTGCGCAGGGAGGGGTGGTGCACGCGCCGCCGCAGTACCAAGGGGTTCCTCCGGTGGTGGGCTCGGATGTGAGGCCGGTTGGGGTTTCGGTGGGCCAGGATGTTAAGGTGGTTAACAAGGTTAACCAAGGTTCTGTGTGACTATAGCTGTGATTAAATTGTGATTATGTTAATTTTGAAGTAATACACTAAATATGGTTTGCTTTTTTTCTTGTTATGTGTTATATATGATACGAATATTGTTAGCTAATAATTTATGGCTAAGGATTAAATTTCCCTCACTCTGTCTGCAAATTTTGTAGCTTATACTGCTTTAATTTGTATTAATGGATGTTTTTTATTCAATTTTGTATTGAGATTTTAAAATGTAGTAGAGAACAATCTGTGGAGGGACCTCCAGATCCTCAGAAAACTGATATGGGTTTGTTGGAGTTCCTCTGTGATGGCTTTTTGTTTGTTAGTATGATTTTAGCTTGAGAATTAGTAAGAGTACAAGATTCTCAAAATCCAAATCATCACTGCATTTTCGATATTTTCTTTTCATGGCCATTGACATGGTTAACTGGTGTAAGAGTTTTATTACTTCTGTAGGAAAATAAATTTTAGTCAAAAAATTATGTTCATTGAATTAGATTTAGGATGTTAGTCATTTGTGTCTATTTCCTTGATTACTTTATTGTGTTCTTTTTCCTATGTAAGAAATAGGTTACAACAATTTATGAACAATACTCAACCAACTTACTCCTGTGACTAATTTTAAATTATATATGAACTTATAATTGGTGGAGGGAATTAATACATGTTGAAACATATATAATTATTTAATTAAATTCAAGTTAATTATTAACATTATGTATTCTGTACAATTTATTCCTGTTGGATCTTGGAAAATTCATGACTTCTTCACGGGGATCTATTAATTAAAGCTTAAGTTGTACAATCTATTTTATTTTATAAAGATATAATAATTCATTATTATATTTTAAAATTCAATAAACTTTTTAATCAAATTAATCAAACCAATTTTTATAATTATCACTCTTAATTTTTTTAAGTTTTAAAAACATATTTTTAAATTACTTACAAAATTTATTTTTGAACACATTTTTTAAAAAGTTCAAAGTGGAGTGAAGGATGTATGCATGGGAAGGAAATTGTAGCAGTGAATGATTTAATGGATGCATGATGTGATGGGCAATTAGGATAAGACAATTTGGATCCCACATTTCCATTCCCAACTAATACCACTTTTAATTTGGTGCGCCCATGGGATAGATAATGTTATTTATTCACTTTAATTTTCGATAAATATATCCATACAATGTATTCAATCTTAAATTGTTATAAAATTAATATAATTAATTATATGATAATTTGTACATATATAATGATTATTTGATTAGTTTCACTGTATTAAATTATATTAGAAAGAATTAGTTTTTAGATAATATTTTATACAAATTGGTATAATTATTTTCAATAAAAATGTTTTCAATTATTTATTTTTTAATTTATTCTTTTCATTTTAATTTTCAAATCAAGATTTTAATATAAATTTACATATATGAATTATTTATCATAAATCTAGAATATATTTAATTTTTAAAAGTTATATATTAATTTTTATTCCTTTTCAATTATTTTTTTAAACATCATATTTTTGAAATATATGACTAATATTATTTGTGACTTTAGAGAAATAATGGTTATTCTTTCCCATTTAATAAAGGCCATAAATTCTTATAATTTATGTTAATTAATATTGATAGCTAAATTTACTTATTATACTATAAAACAAAATCTGACAAATTTTTTTATTTTTATGTAAAAACCTTAAAAAAAACATAAAAACGGCCAAATGGAGCAATTTTTAATAAAAACATATATATTATATTATGAATGTTATAATGTTTTCCCACAATTTTTTCTTGATATCTTGTAAAAGTAGTTAGTAGAATATAAATATATTTAATGTTTTAAAATCTTAAAAACATGTAATTAGTTTATATTAGTGAGTGTGAAAGTTAATGAAATAAATTACAACTTCCTAAACTTAATATAAGAAACAAATATTTATATTTTATTAAATTTAATATAAACAACTTTCAATTAATTCAACTTTATTTAATATTAGTATTTAATCAATAGGCTTATATTTAAGTTTGAATAGTTTATAACAAATATGACCGAAAATAATTTAAAATTCTTATATTCTTCTTACTTCACAATATATATCAAATTAGGCACTAAGAAGGAAATGAATTGAAAAAAAAATAAAAAATACTTTTAATGAGTAATAAAGTAAGGGATAGATGAGTAAATAAAATAAGTGTTGCTAAGAAATAAAATACATAATAATAAAGTGTTTTTTTGCTTATAAATAGTGTACAAATTTGAATATTGAAGCTAAAAAAGAAGTAAAGGAAGATTGTAGTCTTAATTACCATTTTATCTATCAATCACATTTTTCCTTCAACTTACTTGAAATGGTCAATTTTTATGGCTGCCTACTATTCGGTTCAGACCCACTTTTTCGTTCATAAATATTTTAATTTAAATCTAAAATATTTAAGGCAAATTAGAATATCAAAATATAAGTACCAAGGTAGAGTACTTCTGTCCGTAGAAGGAATTTAGTTGATTAAATTTTATTTATTAAATTCAAAAATATTTAAATTAAAAACTTAATAATTTAAATATTATCTACATTATTATTTTTCTTATAATTCTCTTATATATTTATTTTTAAATTTTTTTTATATTCAAATACATCTTAATTTTTCTTGATAGAATAAAACATTTGTATATGACTAATTTTTTTTATAAAATAAGTATTTTATTTATTTTTAAAATATTTTGTATATAAATTTGAAATGCTTACATGCGTTGTACGTAGATTTTGTTGAATAAAAATAAATTTTGATTAATTTTAAATTATTATGCTACGTTCATGCTTGATTTGAGTTTAAGGATGATTTTTTTTTTTTTAATTTGGAAGTTTTTATGATTTTGTTTCAAAGGAGAACTATATATAAGGTAAGAGAAGGTAGTTTCCATTTCTTAATACTTTAGAATATATAATTTGGAGACTTTGTTATAATATTTACTTGCAGTATTTGAAATTTGTAATATATGCGTTGAATAGTCTATAAATTGTGTGAAAATTTAATGTTTTGATGCAATGTGAATGTTTTATTAGTGCAAAATAGACTATAAATTGGGTAATATATGTACTCTGGGACAAAAGAAAAAAAAAGAAAGAAAAAAGTTAATTATAACATATTTTAATTAAAATATTAGTAAAAAATATTGGATATTTGCTCAGAATTTATTAAAGAGATAATACTAATGAAACATGAGTTTAACTTATATAATAGATTGACTTTATTTTAAATAAAAAATTTTAAAATATTAAATTATAGGTTTTATTTTTTTAATATATTGTTCAACTTTTTCATTTTTATTTAATATGTAACTTAAACTGAAACTTGAATTATTTAACACAATCATGTTTAAGTTTTCTTGTCTACATAAGATTCTAATGCCAGACTACTAATTGATGTTTATATCATTTGTTCAAGCAATACCTCATCATTCAAATACATTAAAAGATGAAGACTTTTTTTAGAGGTTTTTTTTTTTTTTTTTTTTTAAGTGAGAGTTTCTCACTCAAGTGACAAGGTTTCACCAAAGAGAGAAATGACTAGTCTAATGTCTAATTATGTTATTTTGCTCAAATAAAATGTGAGAAGTTGTCTTGCTTAACCAATAGTAACTTTTTACAAATGAAAATACTTAGAGGACAACGAAGAATGTTCGCTCAAACAATATTCTTTTGGAAAAAACATGAATTTTGTGTAATCCTAATTCTATTTTATGAAGTTAACTCAAAGATACTACTGAATAAAAAAACATGTATGAATGTTAGATGTGATGGTTGAAATTATGTTTGGAAGGTGTGAATGATATATTATAATATGAAAATTTTCAATAAAGTATTTCTATATGAGTTGGTGAAGTGTACGTGATAAACGGATTAGATATTCTATAGAAAATATCCTAATTAATTACATAAATCACATAAATAAAAAAGTATTTATTGACAACTAATATTTATCAATAGATAATTTTAAAATATTATTTTTTTATTGATAAAAAGATGATGAAATAAGATAGATAAATAATAATATAAAAATCTAAAAATAGATTATTAAACGAATGTTTTTCTTTTTTACAATGTCAAATATCAACACTCAGATAAAAAAATCAATGGATGAGAATATATGTATCAACCTAATTTTTTTTTTTGTGTAAATTTTTTTTGAAGTTGTAGTGGGACAAATATATATTTTTTTAATTTAAATTTAATGTTTATTTTTTTTTAAATTGTAAAATGTTTATATTGATGTGATAGTTAATATGTATAAATACGAGATGAATACATATAAATTGTGTAGTTGTGTAGTTATAGGAAGAGTGAAGATATATAATATAATATAATATAATATAATATAAAGATATAAAAGCAAAGGAACAAAAATGAGTGGCCCTTAACTTAACCAAATCTATTACTCAATTGGGCGTTATATTTTTCCTTTTTTATCAGAATCTGTGTGGGTGTTAATGGTGAATGATTTTTTGACAACACCAATACATATTTCCCTCCAATATTGATCAAGATATTAACAGGACGAGACAGATCACAAACACTCTTAATCAGATATTGATCAAGTTCGTATCTACTCCTAATTTCAACTTCTAATTAATCAAAAAACAGAAGAAAAAATGTGGGTATTTTAAAATCACCAACAAATCACTTGAGACTTCTCTAAGAATATATAACAAAAGAGTTTTAGATAGACAAACATCGTATCCACAAAAATTTCAGCTTCAAATTTGCCATAAAAAGTTACATCTGCTCACAAGCGTGGAATTCATCATTATTAACATTATTTGAAGAAAAACATTATTCACTGTGTCAATCCACGTAAAACTGTTCTGAAAAATATTTCTAAGAAAAAGAGAACAGTTTTCTAGTACAAATAATGTTTTTGAAATAGTTATTTCTAAACTCATCAAACTTATACAACTTTTTTTTTTCTGGTTAAATAACAATATAAACATTTTATATCATCAATACATAATTATTTACTCTTTTCTTAGTTAAAAAATGAGATGACTTTACAACACAAACTATGACATTCCAATATCATAACATTACTGGTCTATTCACTCACCAGGAGGTAAACGTAGCCAAAATCATCATAAAACAAAATAAGGGTCTTTATCGTATGATATTTGATTCAATAATACTGATAATTTAAACCGCTGCTTTTCCTATGTCGATGAAGCTAAACTTCACTTCCTCGTTGCATCATCATAGGTCATCGACACTTTCGTGAGTCCTAACTTCATCTCTCTGTCTGAAAACAGACTACGAGCGTGGGTGTTTGGTGGTGCGATGGGAACTTAAATGTGAACCACAGACGATGGGAACATGACTTGGAACCACGAAGGACGTGTTCCATGTTAACGGAAAGGAAAGTGCGACTATGAAAAGCGGAATACTTAAAGAGTACGTGAGTGCGTGCAGTTTAACAGGTGAATGCAAGTCTCCAATCGAAGTGCAAAACATAGCAATAGAAACTCACAATTATGCAAAAATTTCGTTATCGTTATTGAAGCAGCGGTGTTCGGACTCCAAAAGTGCTACAAATCAAGAGCCTTCTAGTAAAAAATGGCATTCAACATTAGATACAAAAGTAACCTTGTATTCTTGCAATTATGTGATGATTAATGGGACGAAACAAATACTACAAAACCACGCCTACAGATCTCACTTCTTGACTTCCTCATACTCCGCCTCAGGAGCTTGGTCACCACCCTGAGAACCTCCAGTTGAGGAACCACCACTAGAACCACCTGACATGTGCTGTCCAATCTTGGAGACAGCTTTGTTTGCTGCGTCAAGCTTTGACTTAATTTCATCAGCATTGTCCCCTGCCATTGCCGTTCTCAAATCTGATACTGCATCTTCAATCTCTTTGGCCACTTCACTGGGAATCTTCTCTCTGTAGTCTCCTAAACTCTTCTCAATGCTGTAGATGGTTGTATCTGCACTGTTTCTAATGTCAATGAGAGCCTTTCTTTCTTGGTCTCTCTGAGCATGCAACTCTGCTTCTCTGACCATCTTATCGATCTCATCTTCTGAGAGTCCTCCAGATGATCGGATGGTGATTTGCTGTTCTTTCCCAGTGGATTTGTCTTTGGCAGAGACAGTAACAATCCCGTTGGCATCTATGTCGAATGTGACTTCAATCTGAGGCATACCTCTTGGGGCAGGAGGAATGCCAACAAGCTCAAATTCTCCAAGCGTTTTGTTGTCTGTAGCCATTTCCCGCTCCCCTTGTAGAACCTTAATACCAACCTGAGTCTGATTGTCAGCTGCTGTTGAAAACACCTGAGAAACAATAACGAAATCAAACGGCTAAACATCTAAATTACTAAAAAGGGGGAATTTGAGGGAGAACTTCAACTAAGCATATAATTTCATTATTTCAATGTTACATTACTTACGAACGACTGACCTAGGAGACTGGAGAGTAGAAAACAGTGGTCTAAATCCATGTTTAAAGATTACCTGGCTCTTTTTTGTAGGAATTGTGGTGTTACGGTTGATCAACCTGGTAAATATACCACCCAAAGTCTCAATACCCAGAGAAAGTGGAGTGACATCTAGGAGTAACAGCTCTTTAACATCTCCACGTAAGATACCACCCTGAATAGCTGCTCCCATGGCAACTGCCTCATCAGGATTTACTCCTTTGCTAGGACTCTTTCCAAAGATCTCTGAAACCACCTCCTGGACTTTAGGCACACGGGTCATCCCTCCAACAAGAAGAACCTCATCAACATCCTTGATGGATACGTTAGCATCCTTCAAGCAGCTCTTACACGGTGCCTTTGTCCTTTCAATCAAGTGGTTAACCAAAGCCTCAAACTTGGATCTTGTCAATGTGATGTTCAGATGCTTTGCACCAGATGCATCAGCAGTGATGAAAGGAAGATTGATTTCTGTTTGAGATGTTGAAGATAGTTCTATTTTTGCTTTCTCCGCAGCTTCCCGAAGCCTCTGCAAGGCAAGCCTATCCTTTGAAAGGTCAATACTCTCAGATCTTTTGAATTCATTCACCAGAAAGTCCAATAAAGCATTATCAAAATCCTCTCCTCCCAAGAAAGTGTCACCATTAGTTGCTTTCACCTGGACACAAAAATGTTACCAGTAAGAATTTTCCAGCATTATTCCTTATGACAAATAAAGAAAGAAAGGCACAAAAGAAGTGTTAATACCTCAAAAACACCATTAGAAATCTCTAATATGGACACATCAAAAGTTCCACCTCCAAGATCAAAAACTGCAATGAGACCCTCCTTGTTGTTCATCCCATATGAAAGTGCAGCAGCAGTGGGCTCATTGATGATTCTCTGAACATCAAGACCAGCAATTCTACCAGCATCTTTTGTTGCTTGCCTTTGAGCATCATTGAAGTAAGCTGGTACAGTAATTACAGCTTTTGAAACTGACTTTCCAAGATATGATTCAGCAGTTTCCTTCATCTTGGTGAGAACAAAAGCACCAATTTGGCTGGGAGAGTACTGCTGGCCATTGGCTTCAACCCAAGCATCTCCGTTGGGTGCCCTAACAATCTTGAATGGTACCATCTTCATCTCCTTCTGAGTTTGGGGATCATCAAACCGCCTACCGATCAGTCGCTTGGTTCCGAAAAGAGTGTTTGTTGGGTTAGTCACAGCCTGACGCTTGGCTGGTGTACCAACAAGAAGCTCCCCTTTCTGGTTAAAGGCAACGACAGATGGTGTTGTTCGTGCTCCTTCAGAATTCTCAATGACTTTTGGATTCTGAAAATGTCACATCAGTTAGTCATAACAGAAATACAGCTGAAAACACGTCTTAACAAATTTAGAGAGAAAAACTTGCCTTTCCCTCCATAACAGCCACACATGAATTGGTAGTACCCAGATCAATTCCAATGACATCATTACCAGCAGGCTTTGAACTGCGGTGAGGATGAAGTTTTACAGTAAATAAATTGGATACGAGCAGTACAATATATGTCACTCAATATACCTCTGAATTTTTATTTTTTATTTAAAAAAAAAAAACTGCGAACTGCACCTGAATGGTCGAGACAAACTAGCCCACTTGTGACCTACATAAGATGTCTTCGTTCCGCTTGTCAACTGCACAACCATTGCTAAAGAAATTAAAATTACCTTCTGAATAATGTTCACAAGTTCAACAATCATTATTCTACAAATGTCTCCATGATATCAATTATTGTTCACCAGTTAATGAACTTAGTAGATCGCGAATAATATGCACTCAATTATAAATAAAAAAGCATATAGATATAACAAAGGAACAGCATCATACTAGTGATCGTGTAACAATGATGTCAGTTGCATAGAAAAACGCAGAAAATTTAGCAAAATTTTGGGCCAATATATAACCCAATAATCTCAAAGTAACAATTGCTTCAAACTTCTATAGAAATGACGTACCATACAAGTCCGGTTCTCAAAACTTTTCTAAAACTGTTAATTTTAAAGATCTAGAAGTACGTTTATTGACGAGTTAAATATTTTGTTTTTACTTCAAATAAGCGGAATTTACCGAACATCGTCTAAGAGATCTTAATAATCAAACAGAAAAATATATATACAAAACAAAAGTTATAGTTCCCCAGCAGCTATGTGAAGAATCTCAAAATGAGCCACATACTGATTCGCTTAATTCATCACATAACTCAGTATAATCAAAGAAATATAAGAAGTGAGACTAATCGCGTTGAAAGAGTGAGTTGGAGATGCAAAAAGGAGAGAGGCGATATACCGATCGAAAGGCGGAGAGAGAGGAAGTGGGAAGGTCGCGGCGTCGGAGAGAGCGGAGCAAGGCGGTGGCGGCTGCCATGGCGAATTGGAAAGAGTGAAACGAAGGGTGTGGAATTGGCGTTAGAGAAAGGGAGGGTTTGGTTTGGCTTTAAAATAGGGTTTAGGGTTTTGTGCTGACGAAAGTAGTGATGGTATGATGAGAGGTGGAAATGAGGGTACCGTATAACTTGTACTTCAAGACAAGTGAATTTGTATATTTGTTTTTATATATATATATATACAAAAGCCATTTTTAGATATTATAAATCGAATGTTTGAGCAATTAATATAGAAGAAACTTTTTAATTATTTTTTCTTTTTATACTAATTTTAATAGACACTGATAAAATTATATTAGACATAACAATGGATAAGATAAAGTTTAAAAAGATAGGCATACTTATACGTACAGTTAATACCTTTAATTCCCATCTCGTCTTTTTTTTAGGTATTTATACACGAATAACTACCAATAACAATTATATGTGTATAAAGTTAATATAATAATAAAAAAATATTAATTTACTAAAATTACAAAATTTATCTCATGAGATGTAATTATTTTTTATTTTATACATATTTATTATCTAAAATATTCAATGAATATTACACGGGTATATTTTTATTTTCTTTATATTTTTAACATGAAAAATATTTTATAATACTATTAGATATATTTAATACATGATTTATTTATTTATTAATATATAATTTTTTAAAAATGTTTATATATATATATATATTAATATTAGTAATGTCTTTTGTAATATTACATTATTAAATAATACAAAAATATATTATAATATAAATACTATCATTATTTATATTATGTTCGAGATGAAAATGTCACCTTCTTACGTAGGCGAGTCTTTTAAAAAAATCGGAACAAATAGTTAAGAAATTAAAGCTTTATTCTCAACTCTTGATCTCTCGGGTCTAAGACTAATTATTGAAACCTAATTTTTTTTTACTATCCAAAAGTAATTATGAATATCTACTAATCACAATCTATATGTATATAAAGTTAATAAAAAATATTAATTTAAAAAAATTATCACATAAAATGAGATGTAATTATTTTTTATTTTTGCATAATTGTTATCTAAAATATTCATGCATGGGTATATTTTTATTATTTTTATATTTTTAGCATGAAACATTATTTTATAATACGATTAGATAGATCAATAGATGATTTTATTTATTTATATATATTTTAGTAATTTTTTTAACATATTACATTATTAAATAAAAACTAAACTATATTATAATATAAATATTTTTACTATTTATATTATATTTGAGTTTAAAATCTCACCATTTTATAAAAACAAGTCTTTGAAAAAAAAGTCAAAACACTGTTATAATTAAAAAATTGAAATTTTATTCTTAATTATCATTCATTTGAGTCTAAGATTAATCATTGAAATGTGTTTTTCTTTCACTTAATAATACATATATAACAATTGAAAACAACACCCAACATTAATTAGAATTAGTTTGTGATAAAAAAAGATTAATTATAAAAATTTTCAAATTTCGTACCTACATTAATTTATTATATAAGTCAATCGTATATAACAAAATATAAGGAATCCAATACTAAATATTTTAGTTTATATGATATATATCATGTTATTTTATATTGAAATACATAATATGAACATTTGATTCTATTTTTGAAAGAGATATGTGTTCAATTGAACTTATAAGATTTATATTTATCACATTATGATTGTTAAGTGAATATATTTAATATAGGTACATAATTATGTGATAGGGTAAATCTTTAAGATTTATTATACTAGACATAATTTTTTTTTTCACATTGTAGTCCAAGTCATAAAAATCTTGTTCAACACTCATTTGATGATATTTTTCTCTATGTAAGTCTATTACTGGTAGAATAAATATATCTCATTCAAAATCTAAAATTAAATGCATTACCTACATTTCTGCCTAGTATTTTCTCATTCAATATCACTATGTTTACTTCTACAATACTTGTCATTTGTGTATTCATAAATAATAATTAGATATGTCAATCTTTACATTGATTATGCATACACAACATCCTATCATTTATATCATAAGATATAGACAACATTAAAATGAAATGAGATATATATATATATATATATATATATATATATATATATATATATATATATATATATATATATGTGGTTAATAATCATATATAAAGGTGACAAAGTATCTAAGACTACTTGCATCCATATTTGAACAATAAATATCTATACAAATAATTTACAGATTTACAGTCAGTATAAACTCATCTTATCATCCTTTTTGAACTTGTTAATTTGCTTACCCATACTAGTCTCAAAATCTAAAATATCAAGTATTACATCATTTACTAATTGTTTAATTTTCTTCAATAGAAATATGTCTCAAACTTCGATGCTATAACATAAAAGAATTATCATTCATATCACAACATTTTAAATTATAACATGCATAGAATTATAAATAGCGACATTGTTTTATAAATTATTAGAGTAAAGATCATTACCTAGTTTACCAAAATAAGAAACTTTTGACTTGTTCAATAAAGTAAAACTAAAATACATAAAATTAAAAGAAAAACCTAAAGGTGCAAGCTGTGAAATGAAATTAAGTTGTTGCTAAAATTAGGAACATAAAATATCATTTTTAAACATAAAAAAATCCATTACTTAAAACTAAATTGTATATTCTTACTAAAATATTTGATTTTGTTGTAATTAATTTTAGGCTTGTTTTCTCTTGGTTAGTCCCCTATAAATAAATGCATGATGAGAGCAGAAAAACACAATCCCCTTCTTCGAGGTGAGAACTAATGTTTTGTCTCGTCTCCATCTTTTTTTATTCTATTTTCATTCCCAATTTTTTTTAGTTTAGTTTTTAATTTAACAAGTTAGATGGATCTACTGTAACTCTTTTTGGTTTGTTCTCTTTTGTAATTTTAATTTGCAATCTCTCTTGAATTTTACAATTTTATATTGTTGAATTTGCTTTATTCATTATGTGCTCAGTTTAATATTTTATATTTAGTTTTTTAAATTTTTTATTTGATTCTAGTATTCAATTTACCTCATTTTTTATTTCAATTTAACCATTGTTCGATTCTAATTTTTTTTACTATTTTTTTATTTCAATTTACAACTTAAATTTAGGTTTATCTCTTTCGACAATTTTTAAATTTAATTATTAAACTATTTTATTTTAATTAAAAGTAGTTTTTGATTCTATACTTTATTTCGGATAGTTTTGAATTTAATTAAAAATACTCAGTTTTATTTTTATAAATTCTAGTTATTTAAATTTTATTTATTATATTTTAATTTAATTTTCGTTATTATTCTACTGCAATTTAATTTTAATTTTTTGTTATTTTTCTTTCATTTATTTTTTCGCTATTTTGTTTTATTATCATCAACTCCATTTATTATTCTTTACTTGTTTTTAGAAAAAAAAGATGTTTGTTCATGGGTATATTCCTATAATTATGTTATTATGAAATTCAACACAGATTAATTATAGTTCATTCGTTTAACAATTTATTAAATTTTTATTAATATTTTGTGCGACTATAATGTTATTGTCATAATGCATCTATTCAGAAAGCAAAATGAGCTCAAACCATTGGAACATGCAATTTAGGTTTAAGTAATGGATTTATTTTAGGTTTAAAAAGGACCTTTTATGTTTCTAATTTTAGTAAACACTTAATTTCCATTTCACAACTTGCACCTTTGGGTTTTCCTTTTAATTTTATGAATTTTAGTTTCTTTATTGAACAAATCAAAAGTTTTTTTATTTTAGTGAATTGTATAATGATATTTACTCTTTGTTAATTTTACAAAACAACATGGTTACTTATAATTCTATGCATGTTTATATTAGTTTAAAATTTTGTTTTGTGAATAATAATTCTTCTATGTTGTAATATCGAAGATTGAGACATATCTCTATTGAGATAATTAAACAATTTGTAAAAGATATAGTACTTAATACTTTAGATTTTAAAACTAGTGTGAATTGTATTAAGGGTAAACAAACTAACAAGTTTAAAAATGGTGCTAAGAGAGTTCAAACTTACTATAAATTATTTATATGAATATTTGTTGTCCAAATATAAATACAAGTAACATGAGATATTTGATATCCTTTATAGATGATTACTCACAATATATGTATCTCTACTTATTTCATTCTAAGAATAAAACTTAAAATGCCTTAAATTTTTTAAAGTTGAAATAAAGTTATATGCGAAAAGTAAATTAACATTGTGAAATTAGATAGAAGTAGAATATTACGCTAGTTAGACGGAGAATGAATAAGCACTTTATTCATTACAAAATTTCTTCAAGAACATGAAATTGTTCTCCGATACATTATGTCTAGTTCTCTAGATCATAATGGTATGATAAAGAAAAATTAAAACAGTTTCTCATCAAGGTAATGTAACAATATTGAGAAGATATTCAAAAATAAAAAAAATATCAAACGTTTCTAATGATCATGAAGTATATTTACAAAAATCATATTATAACATTGGATTTGAAAATGATCCTAAAACGTTTTCACAAGCCATTATTTCTAAGAAATCAAATTTGTGGTCTAATTCCATGAAACATGAGATCGATTCAATGATATTTAGTCAAGTTTGAGATCTTATTGAGTTATCTAATGGTGTAAAATCCGTTTGATATAGACGAATCTTTAAAACTAAGAAGATTTACAAGGTAATATTGAGAGACTTAAAATAAGACTTATTGTCAAATGATTCACTTAAAGAGAAGTAATCAATTATAAAGAAACATTTTCTTCTATGTCTTAAAAAGAATTTTATGAGTATCATGACATTAGTAACTTATTTTGATTTTGTATTACATCAATAGATGTGAAAAAGATATTTTTTAATAGTGATTTAGATGAAAAAGTTTACATGAAACAACCTAAAGGATATTCTTCAATGATTAAATCCATGTAGATTAAAACTATGCTAATGGTACTTAAAATTTCATGAAGTTATCTCTTTATTTGATTTTGAAGAAAATGTTAATGATCAATGTATATAGCTAATTGATAGTGGAAGATAAATTTTCTTCTTTGGTTTCATATGTGAATGACATTTTGCTTGTAACTAGTGATAAAAGAATGTTATACAAGTTGAAATAGTTTCTCTCAAAGAACTTTGATATGAAATATATGAGTAAGACATCTTATGATGAAATATATGAGTAAGACATCTTATGTTATAGGCATTAAGATCTATAGAGAAATATTTCAAAGTATTTTGGGTTTATCTCAAGAGATCTATATCAACAAACTTTTATCATTAAACTTTTAGAGAGGTTTAATATGAAAAAATTATTCATCAATTGTAGCTTCTATAGCAAAGAGTGATAAACTTGAATTGAGTAAGTACTTGAAAAATGATCTTGAAGGGGAACATACGAAAAATATTCTATATATTTTAGTTATTGGAAGTCTTATGTAAGTTCATATTTACACTAGGGGTGACATTGCATTTGAAATTGGAGTTTTTAGAAGATCTAAGAGTAATCCAAATGTTAAATTTGCTAAGAAGGTAATAAGATATATTCAAGGAACAAATAATTTCATGCTCATAGACAAACTAAACATTTGGAGGGGATTACTACTCTAATGCAAACTTCACTTTATTGACCAAAAAATCTATATTTAATTATGTTTTTATCCTAGCATGTGAAATTGTATCTTGGAATAAAAAAAAAAATAGACCTTGACTACTACTTGCATTATGAAGATTTTGAGTTTTTTTCTTGTTTTAAGGTTCATCACATAATGTATGATTGAAGACTTTTACATCTAAAGTTAAAGTTATGGACTTGATTGTTAGACTATTAAAGTTAAATTATGATAATTTTGTTGCGGTATTTATGACTAAGAATAATAAAAGTAAAAGTCAAAATAAGCATACCAATATCTAATCATACAAAAATTATATTAAGAAAAAAAAAGTGGTCATTGAACATACTAGCACTGAATTGATAATTGTCAATATTTTTACTAAAAATATTATCACCAAATAATTTTAAGGATAGTATAATATAAATGAAACTTTTCCATTTTATGAAAATCAATAATTTTACTTTGATAAACTATTATTCAATTTAATGTTTTTTATTTATTTAGTATGCACATACATGTTTATTTTGATAAATTTTATTCATTTAGTTTAACATTTCTATTTAATATTTTTCTCATTTAATATGTACACGTTTATTTTGATACGTTTCATTGATTGATTTAATTTGACCTTTGGGATTAATGTTTTTTTATTTATTTAGTGTGCCCATACCTATTTATTTTAAATTTTTTCATTTAATTTGACCCTTTAGTATAATGTTTTTCTCATTTATTGTGCACATATCTATTTATTTTGATAAATTTTATTTAATTTGACCCATAATAAAAAAATGGTTTATTTATTAAAATTAAAAGTTTTTTTTATGAGAGATATATGGTGGTGATATATGAAAAACAATAACCATTATTAAAAGACTTATCACCATTTCATATTTAGTTTGTTGTTATGATTAATAATAGAACAAATGGATCAAATACGGCAGTGTTAGTAATTACTAAATGTTGCAAGGTCTTATTTAATAAGAATATGGATATCATGTGAGATGTGCAGAAACAAATTAACTATGTTGTAACAATTAACCCTGAACATGTGTAATGCTATCCATATTCAAATCATTATCAGAGAAATTGTGTGGAAGTTTTAATATCACGTTTGTCACCAAATTCCTGGTTTGCTACTCATTAATTGATAGAGCTCTATAAATACCAAGATGCTCTTTACTTTGGTGGTTTGTCTTTTCCCTATTTTCGCATTTTTCAGATTTATATTTCAGTTGTAAACATACACATAATCATGAGATTTGATTTTTTTTCTTTGGATTTGTTTTGTTTATGGAATCAAATATTAATCCGACGTGTATTAATGGAACCGTTACTAACCCAACAAGTTTTCGTAAATGCTGACTCTGACAGATTTGATTTTGTTCTTGGCATTACTCTTTCATCTTTTATTTACTTGTTTATTTCGTCTTGGTACTCATAATTGTAAGTATTGTTTCATTTCCTTATAATATTACAATTTGTTAATTCTCATGCTCATCTCCTGTAAACACATGTTTTTTATAGCAATAAATTCACCATCATCATATTCAATCAATCTAATAAAATGATTTCCTATTTCTATGGAACTCCTATTATACTATTTCATGTCACACACACCAACTGGTGCACATGCATCACATCTCAAAACTGTGATAGCAGCAGTGTATCATTTCCATATCATATATGACAGTCATTTAAGTATGCATCTCATGCCAGATGTAGCCAAAGAAAAGAATGTGGATGTGACTTTCTCAATCAAGGTAAAGTTCATATGCTGAGCATTGCATGAGAAAAATGAGCGCAGATTTTCGAGGGCAGAGTTTTTCTTTATTGCACAAGTTTGTAGTTTTCCTGGATACTTCTTCTCAACGCTCACAAATGGGGGTGTTGGATATTCTCCAAGTCAGTCACCGCTCAGCAGCTAGGCTCAGGCATCAACGGCTTTAGGTTCATTAGTAATTTTAACAATTATTTTGAGTATCTCTATGGTATCATTTACCCCGGAAGACCAATAGCAAATGTATGCTTCAAAACCTTTGGTTATATAAGCATAGCTCAAGCTGTCTCCTTCCTTAGCGATTTCAAGCTTGGCCACTACACGAAGATATCTCCAAGGTCCATGTTTATGGTACAGGTATGTTCATCATGTTTGTTTCCTCTCATGCACTATACTCAAATTACATTTCTTCTGTGTTCAACGAGTCTAACTCATTGTTACAATCCTTGCTGGGACCATAAACACTGGTGTAGCATGGTGGTTGCTGAACTCTATCCAGAACATATGCCATAGAGATCTCCTTCCTGAAGGCAGGTGGGACCTAGGAGGATCTTTGGTTCTCAGGGAAACTACCAACCACTGAATTGGTTTTTCCTTGGAGGTGCAATAGGGCCAATACTTGTTGGGCTATTGCACAAGACATTCCCGAAGCAGTCATGGATTCCCTTGATCAATCTTCCAGTCCTCCTGGGGGCAGCTGTAATGATGGCACCAACAACAGCACTGAACTACATCGCTTGGATTGTAATTAGAACTATTTTCAACTTCCTTGTCTTCCGTTTCAGGAAGAAATGTTGGCAGAGATACAACTATGTTCTATCAGCAGCACTTTATGCAGGGGTTGCTTTTATGGCTGTTCTGCTCTGCTTCACACTAGAAGTATGCCTTGGTGGGGAACTGATGGGGAGCATTGTCCCCTTGCAACTTGCCCTACAGCTAAGGGCACAGTGGATGATGGTTGCCCTATATATGTATTTTTTTAATGGTTTTTTCATCAAAATTTCAACAGCCTTTAATTAGTATATGTATACTAATTTTCACAGAAGTATATGTATGCTAATTTCAATCAGCCTTTAATCTATCTTCATAGATAATTTCGAAGAAATATATATAACACATTTCCTTTTGGCCCCAAAAACGGGAAAGTCAAGAACATTTTTGAAATGTAAAAGAAAAATAATATTTCATGATATTCAATGTTTTGCCGATTGGCTCCAAATATGGTATAATTACATCCTTTATTTTGAAATTTTTTTATAATTTACGTAATGCAAACTATATACATATAAAATGTTTACTCAAAATTAATAACATTCATAATTATCAAATTATAACTGTCTTAAACAAAATGACTAAATAAATACATACAAAAGTCAAATATAAGTTTCTTATGTAAAAATTATCTGTGATTAACTTCCGAGTGAGTTTTCTTTACCATTTTATCAGTTTTACATCTATAGATATCAATTTTGAAAATTAAAATCCAAAAAGTACTCCTCCAAAAGAGTCTCAATATCTTTTCAATATAGGTTAAGACACAGATTTGGAAACCAGAAAATGGGCACATTAAAAATGGTAACTTGGAGGATGCAAAGAAAAGATAAAGATTAAAGTCACTTAATTATTATTTTAATGCTCCTAAATATTTTCAATCACAGACTTTGGCTGAAAACGATATAATTTGCAATATTAATCAGAAACTGCAGCTTAAATGCTGTGAAGTTAGCAACTGCTGTGAAGTTCAGCAGTATTGGAGTCTCAAACTCATCGGAAATTAATTGTCAGGAATTTTACTTTCTAATTGGCTGAACTTGAATATCATCTACAATTTTTGTCCTGGAATGCTTCCATGCTCTACTTTCTTTTATCAGCCTCGTCTATGCAGCAGCATTATCAGGATAATCTATGGACCAGTTTTGATAAATTGCCAGAACCTTGGATACTATTTGGAGAATGAAAGTGCCATCACCTCATCTGTCTCTTCCTGAACAGATCCCTTTAATCAAATGATCAGCTTTGCAAGTAATTTCAGGAATGAGAAGCTTGTATACATTGCCATAAGTGTTGAAAAGTAAAAGCCAACAATAGCTATTCAAACCCAGAAATCATCAAGATGAATTCCCTGTAATCCATTGGTTATACTCATCCATCCTTATAATGAAGGAGCTGGAGCTTGGGGAACCACCTCCGCCATACGCCTTCAGGTTCCAAGAGCAGAAAACTCATTAATATGTAGCCAAGTGTTAACAATCAAAAGGTAAGAGAAAAATGTATTATGTGTGAAACAAGCAAGGCACACCTTTGCAACTTCAGAGGTATCAGTTGAAGTATCAGTGCTACGCAAGCACATTTTGAGACTATTCCTTTGCATGAATATCACAGCTCCTATTGGCCTATCAATGATGAATAAACCTAATTGATAAGATTATATACTTAAATTATTCTTTGATAGCATGGAATCATGGTTATAAACTGTTAAAATAATATTTTTTGGATTTTTACTTAACTACTAGACATAATTATGTACTCTCCAACAGTTACAATCAGAAGAAAAGAAACATGGTATCTGTCTCATTGTATGCATGATAAAAGATAATGCTGATAATGAAATAGTTAGGGTCAAGCTCTAAATTAAACTTTTTTTCTCTCAGACAACCACAGGGGAAGATCATTCCGCTAACAAGATAATACCATAAAATTAAACATAAAGTTGATAAACCTTTATTTTCAATAAATTACCTCACCTAAGACCAGTAGCAGCACTTTTTAAACTAAGAAGCTTGCCAATTTCATCACTTAAGTTGGAATTCCCATCTGCACGAACTCCCTACACAGCAATCGTGGCAACAAAACTTGATTATAAATCTCAAACGCCAAACTAGGAGTGGGGGCACCACATCTGTTGCCATTATAATCGATTATATTGGAAATAACTAGATATAAGTTGAGCATTACAAAGTCGAAGACAAAGTTCATGACAAATTTGACTTTCATTCAAAATTAATTAAGTTTAAAACAACAAAAGCTTAAAGAAATAAAAATTATGGCATATTAGTAACAATAGAAATTAAGATGATTGTGTACTGAAATATTACCAGGCACTCTCCATAAAATCCTCTGCCCAGTCGAACCCTGAATACCTTTTCCAGCAATTTGCTTGCAGCATTTTGGCGAGCTGAAAGATATGAATATCCTTTAGCAATTAAAACTTCAGTACTTAATTCCAGCAACTGCAATGAGGATTTTTCAAAGAACAGAACAAATTCAGCAAATCCAAGATAACTAGAGAGAATTTGACAATAACCTACATGAATAGTAAAGATGCTTTTACTTATGGGAATATTACACAAGGCTTATAAAAGCAAGGAAGCAACATAGTAGTTGGTGCTATGACACTGTGACAGTGTAATAGAAAATTCTGAATTTGTATTAGTCATGCTCACTTCAAACAACCAATTAACTTCTCAACATGTATTTTTCCCTTCCCAGGCAGGACATAAATAAATGAAAAAATTGAGAAAAAATGGAAATGCATGTTTACAATCTCTATCTTGAAACAAATTCAATTTAAGTAAACCAAAGAGTTTCTAGCGGAGCCTGGTCGAGCTATTTGACATGGTCTAGGTAAAATATATACTCTTTAGAAATAAGAAAATACTATGGATTCATAAATTTGTTTCTTAATCCATTTTATCTGAATTAAACTCTAAATTTTCACTCAACAACAACAATAAGAAGAAAACACAGAAACAAGCTTAAAGAATCATGCCTGCTTATACATGTATGGATTAGAAATGCAGTTAAACCTTGACCGCCATTCACTCAGTCCAATATTAAAGACCCTAATGTCAGGCAAGCTCCATCGGCGAAGATCTCCATCCTCAATATACTTAAGAATTAGCTCCACTCGGCCTTTGTCTTTTGAGTCCACCAAACATGGAGCTTGATCCTTAATGAAATCCAGGCATCTTTCAAAATTTCAGCCATGGTTGCATGGGATGCTGGAGAAATCAAGCACATAAAAGAACTTTATATTTTACTTACGTAAGAAATGTTAACATCCACATGTTTGCCAGCGAAGTACTCATAAACTGCCCTGGAGCTACTCTTCTCAAGGTTTACATTAATCATAATATTCTCAGGGCAAACATTGACAGGGGGGATATGTCTAAGTACTGATTTCCGATGATCAAACCCAATAACCCTAGGTAGATAAAAAACAATTAAATTAATATGCAATAAAAACAACAAGAGAAATTATACAAAATCTATACAATACTAGCATTAAAAATAAATAACAAGGGAAAATTAACCTACTTGCATTTTGATTTCCGGGAAAGGTCGAAAAGGAACTCCTTTGGAGGAATAAAGTCAAGTAGATAACATGTCTCAAGGCCATCAATGCACAAATCATCAACCCTGTTGTCACAAATATGAGAGATCACGAAGGGATCATCCAAAAACCACAACTTTGCAGCACCCCATGTCAAGTTTTCAGGCTCAAAGTGAAGTAAAGCACATAAAGTAGAACTTCAAATGCTCCAGAACAGGAAACACAAAACCCCATTAGAAAAAGAAAGGAAATTTACAGAGTGGAAGAAGAAAGGAACCTGAAAGCGAGAGAGGGGACAGAAGAGAAGGGCAATATGAGGGATGGGAGATTGTGACGAGTGTGGAAGAGGTGAGCAAAGAGAGCGGAGAATGCTCCAGAAAAGGAAGGGTAATTGTAGAGAACTATGTTGGGAACTTTATCTTCCGAAGCTTTTGCTATGGCTTCCAACGCCGCGTCTGAACGCAGGCTCCTACTTCCTCTCCCACCCCACACACTCATAGAGAAAGGGAAGCTCCTTCTTCCCCCATTTCCGAACCACCATTTCATTTGAATGGTTCTTCAAACAAAATTTCCCCCTTTGAATCGTTTGGTTGGGTTAAAGAAGCAGCTACTACCTTAAAGTTTTAACACCGTGTTTTGTTTCCTAAGAGAAATTATTAAAAGAAATTAACTTCTTATATTGTAATCTTTATATTATAATCAAGGTTAAATAATTTTTTCAATCTTTTACCTTCATATTATGTTTTCAAAATTAGTATAAATAAATAAATAAATAAATTCTAAAAATAATTTATGTATTCCAAATTCATATTTTATTTTATATAGATTGATCTATATTAATATTAAAATATAATAAATTATATTTTAATTATAACATATACTAACCAAATTGAAATGAAATATGAAGAATGTTTACAATTAATTTATTTGTATTAAAGGACTAAAGGAAATTTATGTACCTTTTCAAGTACCAAATTAACTTATTTCCCTATAATTAATGAAAAACGATGATAGGTGTTGCGTTCTTTAGATAATTATTATTTAAGTCATTAAATTTATTGTATGATATTTAATTTTTTTTTACATTTTATTATTTACTCTTTTATACGGTTGTAGACAACGTTTCACACGCTATATTAATTAATTTCTAACTTTTTTTTTCAATTAGCTGAAAATTTTGTTTGACCTTATTAGTAGTATTTGCTTCTAAAAAATTGCGAATTAAATTAGATTTTTTTTGGTTTTAAATTAATACTTTTGCTTAAATTAGTACGTAAAAATTTGTTTGATTAATCTTTAAATTAAAAAAATATATGTAAAAAAATTATTCATTTTATCATATGTTATAAAAAATGTTATTAAAATATATTTAAAAAGAAAATGATTAAAATCACTATTTTAGCAATTAGTCACCATAAAAATTATCATTAAATTAAATTAAATATAAAAAAGATTAAAATATTTAAAAATATAAAAGATTGAAAATTTCCCATTTAAAAATATAAAGATTAAAGTTTTTTATTTAGTGTTATTTTTTTATTTTTAAAAAATAATTTTAGAGAAAAATTTTAAAAAATAAATAACAAATTAATTGATGGATTTAATTTAAAAATACTTTTAAAAATAAATAATAAAATCAATTGATAGATTTAATTTACAAATTATTTAAAAATGACAATAATAAAAAGAGACATTTTAAAAATTGAAAAATATTCTTTAATAATTTCATTTTAATGAAAATGAATTATAAATATAATTATTACTGAAAATATAAATATCATTAATGAAAATTAAAAACTAAAAATAGATTTTTATTTTATTTTTTAGTTTATAAAAACTAAAAACTAAAAACTAAAAATAAATTAAAACAAACTATTTCACAAACTTTATAAAATAATAATTTCAATTTTAAAACTAACAAACTAAAAACAACTTTATAATCACTAAATAAACATGTCCAAGTTTTTTTTTACACTAATTTACCTTTTAATTTTTTATTTATTCTTAAAATATTAATTAATTTTCCTATTTACTCTTTTCTGTGTAAGATTTTTTTTCACTCAATACACACTACTACTACTATTATTATTATTATTATTATTATTATTATTATTATTATTATTATTATTATTATTATTGTTGTTGTTGTTATTTTATAATAAAATTTTATTATTTTTAATTTTCTTCTAAATAGATATTGACAAGAATGATTTTTATTTATTTTATTATTTAAATACTTTTATATTATTTCCATTATTTTAATTGTTATATTATTTACACTTTTTTTTATCATATTAAATATGTTTTATTTTTATTATTTCAAAATAATTTTATACTATATTATATATTTTAACTAATTATGTTATTTTTAGTATTATATTTTAGATATTCTAATTATTATATTAATCAACATGACGAACGTGTTATATTTATGTAAAGTATATTTTACTTTATTTTAAATTTTAATATAAATATTGCAAGATATAATATAGATTAATATTATATACATAATATGAAAAAAAATGCAATCATTAATAAATGTGATTAAAATAGTTTATCTATAAATATAAGATTATCAGAGTGAAAAATTAATTAGAGTAAAAATTATTTTATAAAAAAATAAAATAAGTTTTATTTAAAAATATTAATTAAATATGATTATTTATCATTTTATATTTATAAGCTTCTTTAAATAATAACTTTATCAAACACTTACATTGCAAACTAACAATATGTTTATAGCTTCAAGCTATTTTTTTCTTACCGCTTTCAAACTAATTTATATTTACTTATTTTCTCTTTAACTTATTTTTTATTTTATTTTTCTATTTTTTTAATTATATTATTTGTGTTATACATAATTTTAGTTCTTTTATATATATATATATATATATATATATATATATATATATATATATATATATATTCACCTCAAATTCACACAAAAAACGATTTTTTTTCAACTCACTTTATTTAAAAAAACAAAATCAAATTATACGTCACAAAAATCCCATACTAGGACCTCTCTTTAAGAAATGTAACATTTTTTTTTCATATAAGTTCCATTATAGGTCATTATCACGAATACTATTTCTTCCTCTTGAACATGGTATCTTTGCTAAACACATCTTCCCATTATTAAACACTTCACTTTAAACTTTTAATTTAAATTTTGAGTTAAGAGTTGTCTGGAATTCTTAAAAAGACTCTCATAAATACAACAAAATCTCTTTGAAATAATCATGTATCTTAAGCAACTAACACAACAACATCATCAATTTGAATATCAATATTCTTAAGATCCTAGATTATAACTTGTTAAATTCATGTAGTTGTTCGCTAATTATCTTTTTACTACTCATTTTTATGAGTACAACACTTGTTTAATATATATAAATGATTTACCAAATATTTGTTCATATAGAAGCTCTCAAGTTTTTGTCCATAATTTCATTGCAACATTCCCTTTCAAGACTTGTCTCAACACTTTCTCACCAAGGCTAAGAACAATAGCATTGTAAGCCTCCAATAACATTTTCTTATCGATCTTTGCCATAATTACGTTAAGCTTGGATTTTCCTTTCAACGCTTTGAGGAGGCCTTATTAGACTGAATAGTTCGGATCTTCAACCATAGTTAAAAGATAACTTAGCCAAATTATAATTCAAATGTTTCTTTTGTGAACTCTCACTTTAAATTCACAATTTACATTGACTTACACTCACTTAAAACGTGAGGTTTACAAGATTCCTATTATAGACATAAAGCTAGCGACAACAAACTCTTTAACTCCTACTTCCATGTGGAAGATAAGATGGAGTAGATTCTCTACTAGACTCCTGACTAGATAGACACTCTGGATTTACAAGACATAACCCTCATGGTTCAACGAGGTGATCTTCATCAGATTCATTCTTCACGAGTTGATTCAACCAAATGCAACCTCATGGATTTTATACCAGACAACATGCTTAGAGACTAACATGCAAATAGTTCAACACTCTAGGATACCTTTGAACACATGATTGATGATATACAATATAGATTAAGAAATCATAAAAATAAAGCCCTTCATCACAATAGTCAGGCGATCTTTATTGTCCCATATACAATGTCAGTTCGTAAATTTCATGATTAATATACAGCACAAATTTAGAAATAATATGGACCGAACGTATTCATCTCTATGTATGTGCGATCGATATCTAACAGTAACAGGTTTTTAACCTAATGTAGCGGCTTTTTCACCATTCTGGATAAAAAAAATTTGGATTTTACTAAAAAGGGTTGAAATTTTTAAAATTTTTCAAAATGAGTTAAATCGTGTTAGGTGAAACGATTTTGGGATGATGAAATTGTATTTGAAAATGTACTTTTGATTAAAATCGTACTTCCAAGCACGATTTCAGTGTTATTGTTTTTTTTAAGGTGTTTGGTAACACGAGTTTAGTATAACACAAGTTTAGTATAACACGAGTTCCGTGTTTATAAAATGTAATCATGGTATCCACTTCAGCGTGTGGATATGGAGAGGAAATTGAGTGAGGAGCATTCCTCATGGTTATGATGTTAACAGTGGAGGCAGGATTTGACATGAATAACCAATTGTGAAAAGATAGAGGTTGAACGGAATGTGAGGGTTGGAGAGGAGACTGTAGAAAATGTGTTGAGTCTCCATTAAAGTGCAAACTCATTTCGGTTGGTACCAGGGTATGATAACCTCTTCTTTCATTAATATTAGTGATTCTGTTAGTTTGCGTAATAAGTGGGGACATAGTTGTTACCACATTATTTGGATTAGCATGACCACCATGTAGAAATCGATATTGTTACACCAGAGAAAATGTTGAATTATTGGCAAGCGTACCAAAATTATCAATTGCAGTATAGTATTTCGATTAAATAAAAATCGATACCATGAGGAACGGTTTCAATGGAAATTCCCAATTATGCTTACTAAGTAGATTAAAATAGATTGAGTTTTGCAATTAAGAGTTGAATTGAAATTAAATGACAAATAAATGTAAATTGTTGAGAAAATATCAATTAAAGGTACTTAGGATTGACTTCTTTCCTTATCCCTCTTTTGTAATGGCTAAATCAATTAAGAACGTCAATTAACCTAACAATGTTGATGTCACCTACTCAAATCATCCATGTTGATTCCTCACACATGAAATTCATAAGAAAACCTAATAAATGTTGATTCCTCACACAATTAACAGATTTTCCAGCATTAGGGTTAGGGTGTTAAGCAATTGATACATTCATTCCATTCCTGACAATTAACGTAACAAATATTCTTACCGTGATTTAGGGTTCAAGATATATTTTCCAATTGTAGACCCCAAATCTTGTCCGACCTCACAATAAAGATCAGAAGACCTCCTTTTCGAAGATGGATGAAGCCTAAGAAGCCACTAGGAGAGACTATTAGGCCTCATACTAGGATAGGAGGGATTTTTGGCACTAAAATAAGGATTTTTGCCTTTTGGGGTCGAGACCGCCTTCTCGGATTCGAGACTGCCGTCTCGCCTTGCGCAAGT